CCCCCCCGCATGATTGCATTGCCACTTTGCTAACTATAATTGCAGACCCTCCCCTAGAATTTGGTGTTTTAATCACCTGCCTCCTGGATTTCCAAGGTTATGTAATCAACTAATTTTCTTGGTCAACTTGCAGTTCCAATCTGCTTGCGACTATGCATCAGCAAAAATGAACACACATTTTCCATTCATTCACAAATAAGTGAAAATAATCCATCATAATAAAGAAAAAATTTTCATTTTTATAATGTTTGTAATAAAATATTCACTATTTTTTTATATTTATAATCCAATATTCTCACAGGTTTTGAGAAATTCTTTCCTGATGCTTCAAAAACTCCCAAAAATGGCCCAAAACAAGGTAAAATTATGGTGATTAGGTGTTATAATGCCCCCCTGGAAAGTTTGGACTTTGCCCCCCTGGACTCCCAAAAAATTGCCCAAAACAAGGTAAAATTATGGTGATTAGGTGTTATAATGACCCCAGCCCCCTGGAAAGTTTGGACTCCTTCCCCCTGGAAAGTTTTGACTCCCTCCCCCTGGAAAGTTTGGACTTCCTTCCCTGGAAAGTTCCAACCCCTCCCTGAATGTTTGGACTTCCTCCCCCTGGAAAGTTTTAACCCCTCCTCCCTGAGTGTTTGGACTTCCTCCCCCTGGAAAGTTTTAACCCCTCCTCCCTGAACATTTGGATTTCCTCCCCCTGGAAAATTTTAACCCCTCCTCCCTGAATGTTTGGACTTCCTCCCCCTGGAAAGTTTTAACCCCTCCTCCCTGAATATTTGTACCTCCTGGAAAGTTTGGACTCCCTCCCCTGCATGCAAATGGTAGTTTTGAAGATTTATTTTCATTTTTTGCTTACTGGTGTAAATTTCCTTTAGCCTCATCAAATGGGAACAGTGCCAACTCTGGAGGGAGTGGGGGAGCTCCTAAGAAACCCCCAGGCAGTGGCAAGGAATGGTGGAGAGATATTTATGAGAACCCACAGCAGTATATGTGGTTGGGAATTGCCGCTGGTGTTGGTGCAGGATGGTTGATGCTCAGCTCTGGTAGTTACTCCCATGAAATAAACTGGCAGGAGTTCAGGACCAACTATTTAGCCAAGGGAGAGGTTAGCATGGTCATTTGCACTCTGTATAACCAAGGAGCACTACTTGTGTGCAACCTAAAAATGTGGTATTAATTGTTTTGTTTACAGGTTGAAAAACTTGTTGTTGTTAACAAGAGTTTTGTACGAGTCTATCTGAAGGGTGATCCATACAACGTAAGTTTAAACAAACGTTCATGCAAGGCAATGAAACTATTAAAACTGCAGGTTCATCACCACATGCTGCTGTGAACAAAAATATCTTTATAATTCTCTCTGTTTTTTCTATCTTGCCAGAGCACAATTTCATTCAACATTGGAAGTGTAGAAAACTTTGAACGACATTTGGAAGAAGTCCAGAAAGAAATGGGAGTTGATTCAGCGCAATGGGTTCCTGTCACTTACTCCATGGAATTTGAGTGGATGTTAGTCTTTCTCAAGAAATTATTAATTTCTTACAGATATATAGTCTTTTACAAATAACTAAGTGAAATATAGTCTTCTCTTATTTCAAAATCCTAAAGTCTGCACTACCTCGCAGGGCACAGTTAACTTCCAATTTCCTCTGTGGTGGGTGACCCATTGTTAATTGATTTCCTATGTCATACAAAATTTAGAAGATAGTCTACTTCAATTTATTTGAAATATCACAAACCCTATACCATCCCATGGTGTACATACCCTGTGAGTGAAGATCATGTTATCCATGATGACCCTGGGTAATATAATGTATTTTGCAACATATTAATGTTGTATCATTTCTAGGAAACAGCTGTTCCGTCTGACTCCAACTATCCTCATTATTGGTGCATTCCTGTATTTCACACGTCGTGTCTCCAACGTATCAAGAAGACCTGGGGTAAACAATCTTTGAATACCAATGTTTGCAACGGAATACACCCTTCCAGAACAGTACTTAGCCATGACTATGGAGCCTCGTTACCATGTTTGAGACTTTGACTTTAGTGCTCTTAGCTTGTTACTGATTACAAAATTATGATCAGATCTTTTATATCCACTGATATATCTGTATGACCTGTATATACACTTAATTGTGTCACCTGTAACATGATAAAAGCCTCTAAACCTAATATCCAAATCACGAAAATGAGGCTCTATAGATTGAGCACTTTGCCCAAGGGTTATTTGGACACTACTGTAGGAAGCAATTTTGTATTTGGGGTGATTAGTCAGGGGTGATTATTAGGTCATTATTTTCCTCTCAAACTTTACAGATTATGGCTAGTTTACAAATTATTGGGGGCTGAAGCCACCCACTCCCCGGTGTCTACGGCCCTGATTTGGATCATGAATCAAGATTATTTGTGAACCTGTGACTCATTTCAGTGTTATCCTTATGTTTCAGGGCATATTTGGGATGGATGAATCTAAAGCGAAATTTTATAATAAAGAAACAAATGTCAAATTTCGATTCAGGTATAGATGGAATTGGAGCTTTCTACTTGTAGCTCGTATAGCTCGTTCAGGGAAACAAGAATTCATTTTTATTTTTCATCGTCATTTTTCAGTGATGTGGCTGGTTGTGAAGAAGCCAAACTTGAAGTTATGGAGTTTGTGAATTTTTTGAAAAATCCTCAACAGTATCATGAGCTTGGCGCACGCATTCCAAAGGTCGGTGTTTCAACTTGATATCAGGCACTCAACTTTTGCTTGTTCCGCGGCATTAAACATAAATACGTGCAAAACATACTAGAGAGCTTGGTGCTTGACAACGTACGTACGCCTTTAGATTTTCGAGTATTCGAGATTGAAGAAGGACTGTCTTTTGTCGGACAATAAGCACTCAAAAATTACTGACATGTGGCACCACAAACTGTGAAAGTTTGAAACGCGAGAATGACGTCTGACCAATTTGATTTTCAGATCTGACTGAATTACTGAAGGGAGCCACCTTAACCTCGCTTTTCCACGTCATTTTAGGGTGCGATACTGACAGGACCTCCAGGTACAGGCAAGACACTCCTTGCGAAGGCAGTTGCAGGCGAATCAAGAGTTCCATTTCTCAGTATATCTGGCTCCGAGTTCCTAGAAATGTTTGTAGGTGTTGGTCCCGCAAGGGTGCGTGATCTGTTCTCTCAAGCGCGCAAGAATGCGCCGTGTATTATTTTTATCGATGAGATAGATGGCGTGGGTCGAGCTCGAGGGAAAGGAGGTCAGTTTGGTGGGCACGATGAAAGAGAGAATACGTTGAATCAATTACTCGTGGAAATGGATGGTAAGTTATCGTCATATAGAGGCAGTACAAACGTGAAAATTTCAAGTAAGAATTGAGAATTTGTTTTTCTACGACTGTTGATCATTAGATGGTAAGTAACTAAACTAAGTGGGGCTGTGCGGTGTAGTGGGGGGTAATCATCCTCGCTTGCAGCTGAGAGCTAAGCTGAATTTCAAGAAATGCAGTTCAACGTGATCGACTCAAAAGGCTTTTGGTAGCCACCTCTTGTCTGATCACGAGGCATGACTACGGTGGAAGGGACAGTTAGGGGCCCAACCCACCTGTCAACATTCCTTCCGGACTTTCGGTAGAGCGTTGACTGACTGTGTATGTTCTAAATATAGGTTTTACGTCAACGACAAATGTGGTAGTTTTGGCGGGAACCAATCGCGCGGATGTCCTGGACCCGGCTTTACTTCGTCCTGGCCGTTTTGATCGACAGATCATCTTGCCTCCGCCAGATATTAAAGGAAGGTAGAAACTTTTTATTTGTACTTGATCCTGTGGGGCTTTGTTACGACTGGTAGTTGCCTCTTTCGCTTCCTTAGATGTCCGACAGTGCCGCAAAAAATAGATGTTGATTATCTTTAATAATTATCTCTCTGTTTGTTAGATTGTCAATATTCAAAGTTCATTTAAAACCATTGAAGACAGATGTGAATATTGACACAGTAGGCAGAAGAATGGCAGCTTTGACTCCTGGTTTCACAGGTTCGGTGGAATATATTGTCTAATCCGCTTTTTTTCTTGTTTGATTTTCTATAAATTAGTAGATCAGTAGATCAAGCAAATAAAAAACAAACAAAAAAGTCTTTGCCCTATAAGTGTTTCTGAAGTGAACCACCATTTGCTGCCCTGTGACGCTTAATTGATGTTTTGTTTAAATATTTTGTTTAGGTGCTGATATTGCGAACGTGTGTAATGAAGCTGCTCTGATCGCTGCAAGATTTCTCTCACCTAAAGTTGAACTGAAACATTTTGAACAAGCAATTGAGAGAGTTATTGCTGGTAAGGCAAATGTTAGTCAGGTATCGACCTTGCAAGCCAGGCTCGTTACTTTCGTTTCCTTCCCCAGGAAAGCGGGGAAGTTTGACCCCCTCTCTCTCTTGCTCGTGTCAGTAAAAATGTACCTACCTACTACTCAACCCTGCATTCAATAAATTTTCTAATTGCACTTTAAATTTTCTAATTTTCTAGTTGCGCTTTAAATCAAATACTAAAATTTATATTGTACCAATACATTTAACAAATATAAAACATTTTCCATGTTGATATACAGTTATATCAACACGAGTGGAAATTGGGAAAACGAGAAATTGTGTGGAAACACGACGCCCGAAGGGCGGTGTGTTTTCACACAATTTCGAGTTTTCCCAACTTCCACGAGTGTTGATATAACTATATATCAATACGGAAAATATGTTTTATATTTGTTTTATAATATAGCAATGTCAAAAGCCCGAAGAATAAGAACAATTTCCGTGTTACAAGCGGCGGAAAATTTCCCGTGTTGACATGGAGTTATATCAACACGGCTCTTAGCCAATCAGCGTTCAGAATTTACAAATGCTATATTATAAAGTCATATATAAAACTTTAGTTTTTTCAAACTTTTTATTCTAAGTTTAAAGAATCAATTTTTTTCAATGCAACTCAAACAAAATGTGAGAAGGCATGTATAAAACAATTAATTTAACTAAAACAGCAGACCCCCTCCCCACCTTCATAAACTGTGTAATATTTTACGAACCCCCCTTTTTCCTGGCTAAAAAATATGTGACCCCCCCCCCACTGTTTCCACCTCCCCACCCCTCCTGCTAAATTATGACCAGTCCCTAAACGTTCTCAAGCTTGGGCAGTACCTTCATACTCCTTTGAACGTTCTCTTCTTCTTAGCTGTCATGGTTTGTTTCTGAACTACCTAAATTAAAAACAGTTCGTGAAAAGGCCTTTCTTCAGGGAGATAACTTGCAGAGAAAGACTTTTCAGACAAAAGCATATTGTAGACGACCATCTTCATTGGATGCCCACGAAAATTCTAACTTGCAAGGCGTTCAACAAAAATACCTGTTTTGCTTCGTTGTAGGTCTTGAAAAGAAGACCCAGGTTTTACAACCGGAAGAGAAAAAGACAGTTGCATACCATGAAGCTGGTCACGCTGTTGCTGGATGGTTTCTGGAGCACGCTGATCCGTTATTGAAGGTACTGTCTATGCTTCATCTTCCATTAATATTGTGTAGTTGGTACAGTAATTGAAGTCGGAGGATGCTCGCAGCAAACATTGGTTAGTAACTTGGATGGTTCAATTCCCACACTTGTCTGATTATAACTTTTACAATTGTTTTCAGGTTTCAATAATCCCACGAGGAAAAGGTTTGGGATATGCCCAATATCTTCCCAAAGAACAATATCTTTACACCAAGGAACAGGTACACAGCTTCTTTTTTCTCTCGTCGTTGTCTGGTTGAAGACTAGATACATTTTGTCTTGCAGTTGTTAGATCGTATGTGTATGACGCTGGGAGGTCGTGTCTCGGAGGAGATTTTCTTTGGTAGAATAACAACTGGTGCACAAGATGATTTATCTAAAGTAACCAAGAGTGCGTATGCTCAGGTCAGTAAAAATATTACTATTCACTGAACGCAGGATCTACAGCGAGCTTTTACATAATATTTAAAACATGAGCAGCAGTGTTTTATCAGATATAAAGATACGAGGCCATCTTTAGGTCTAATAAAACACCCACTGCGAATGTCTTAAATTGCTTCAAAAACGATCTAGTAAGTTCATTGACGAAGTAATTTTAAAAAAATACGTTGTGTAAGTCGAGAAACTCAAAGTTAAAGTTTATGTAAATCGAGGAAAATCTCTATCACATGTAAAGATACGACACGCTTATAATTTTCTTTGTGTTTTGCTCATGAATTGTGGGACGATGTACTGTTTACATGGCATTGCATGCGAGTGAAAACCGAAAATAACGACTCCCAATGCTTGCTTCTGTCCCATTCAGGTTGCAACTTTTGGTATGAATGACAGTATTGGTAATGTTTCATTTGAGATGCCACGTGATGGCGAGCCAACATTTGATAAACCATACAGTGAAGCAACTGCTCAGTTGATTGATGAACAAGTCAGGGAACTCATTAAAACTGCTCACGAGAGAACGACACAACTTTTGGAAGCTCATAGAGATGATGTCGAGAAGGTATGCAGTCACGGTCCAGTGATCAAAATGATCCATTTGTCTTTTCATTAATTTTGAAAATCTCACTGTTCTCCATGCCATCCTGTCAAGATCCAGTGGTCGGAAAGTTCCATTGTCCTTTCATTGTTTTGAAAATCCCACTGTTCTCTATCCCTTGCCTTTTCATTGTTTTGAAAATCCCACTGTTCTCCATCCCTTGCCTTTTCATTGTTTTGAAAATCCGACTGTTCTCCATCCCTTGCCTTTTCATTGTTTTGAAAATCCCACTGTTCTCCATCCCTTGTCCTTTCATTGTTTTGAAAATCCCACTGTTCTCCATCCCTTGTCCTTTCATTGTTTTGAAAATCCGACTGTTCTCCATCCCTTGCCTTTTCATTGTTTTGAAAATCCGACTGTTCTCCATCCCTTGTCCTTTCATTGTTTTGAAAATCCGACTGTTCTCCATCCCTTGTCCTTTCATTGTTTTGAAAATCCCACTGTTCTCCATGCCTTGCCTTTTCATTGTTTTGAAAATCCCACTGTTCTCCATGCCTTGCCTTTTCATTGTTTTGAAAATCCCACTGTTCTCCATCCCTTGTCCTTTCATTGTTTTGAAAATCCCACTGTTCTCCATCCCTTGTCCTTTCATTGTTTTGAAAATCCCACTGTTCTCCATCCCTTGCCTTTTCATTGTTTTGAAAATCCCACTGTTCTCCATCCCTTGTCCTTTCATTGTTTTGAAAATCCCACTGTTCTCCATCCCTTGTCCTTTCATTGTTTTGAAAATCCCACTGTTCTCCATCCCTTGTCCTTTCATTGTTTTGAAAATCCCACTGTTCTCCATCCCTTGCCTTTTCATTGTTTTGAAAATCCGACTGTTCTCCATCCCTTGTCCTTTCATTGTTTTGAAAATCCCACTGTTCTCCATCCCTTGCCCTTTCATTGTTTTGAAAATCCCACTGTTCTCCATGCCTTGCCTTTTCATTGTTTTGAAAATCCCACTGTTCTCCATCCCTTGCCTTTGCATTGTTTTGAAAATCCGACTGTTCTCCATCCCTTGCCTTTTCATTGTTTTGAAAATCCCACTGTTCTCCATCCCTTGCCTTTTCATTGTTTTGAAAATCCCACTGTTCTCCATCCCTTGCCTTTTCATTGTTTTGAAAATCCGACTGTTCTCCATGCCGTCCAGTCACTCATTGCCAAGTAATTGGTAATTGAGTTTTGTTTGTTGTGTGTTCAAGGTTGCGCAAAGATTATTAACTCAAGAAGTTCTAAATCGTGAAGACATGGTCGAACTACTTGGACCCAGGCCTTTTAAAGAAAGCACGACTTATGAAGAGTTTGTGGAGGGCACTGGGTCTGACGTTGAAGATACAAGTTTACCTGAGGGACTCAAGGGGTTGCAGGATGATGATTCGGGGTATGATGGGAAACCTATACCAACCTAAGGATAATTATTTCGGCACATCGAGCTTACTGCTTTATACCAGCTCGTACAGAAACATCGAGATGTACAGCCAAAATCCCTTCATATTTGTAAATTAGATTTCTATTCGCCAAACGCGTAATATGTATTTTAATTGACAGTTATTTATCAAGTGCCTCCCCAAATCTATATTTCCTGCGCGCGTAATATTTGAATAAATTGCGCGAATATCGCGGTGGAGGTCTGGTGGACAATAACAAACATGGCGGCAGATTCAGAAGAAATTGAAGTGATTTGTCCAGATGTTGAAAATTTAACACAAATTGAAACAAATATAACTTGTCCTGTGGATGGATGTACTAAAATATTACCTAATTCCTCAGCCTTGAGAATGCACTTAGTCAAAACACACAAAACAACGGCAACAGAAGATAATGTGTTTGACAGAGGTGTTAGTTTGTGTCAAAACAAAGTGAAAAAAAAGATCGTATATTGTTGTCCAGTAAGTTCCTGTGTGCGTGGGCAAGACAGTGGAAGATATTTTCATCGTTTAGCTCATGTTAAACAGGTTGGTGTCTTTCATTGTTTCATAGTTTTCTACTTGAGAAATGTACTCAAATGTTGACATTTCTGAGCTCTATATATTTGTTTATTTGCCAAATAGGCAAATACTACAGTACATATAATGAAATGAATCACACTGTTTTCTCATTTTAATAACTATTGGTTGACCACCATCTGCTGCACGATAGTGCTTAGTGAAACCCAATGTCTGTAAATATTTTAAATGATATTCTCTTCAACATACAGCACTACATGAACGTACATGGTGAAAAGAGATTCACTTGCAAGAAATGTGACAAGAAGTTTGGTCGAAACGATGTTTGTTTACGACATGAGAAAACATGTGGAATAATTTTCCCATGTTCCTGCGGTGTAGAATTCAACAGTCGGACTTCAATGTTAACACATGCACGACGCAATGGACATGTTCTTCCTATGTCTGCTTCCAATGAACAGTAAGAAAATTGCCACAATTTCCATATAGGACTTGAGTGAACCTGTTGTTTAAAACCTGAATTGTGGTGTATGTTTGTTTGTAGGAGTGAAAGACATTCGAAGCAGATGAATAGAAAATTACCAGGTAATGTAACAAATCAAGCGATATGTATTTCATTTGTACCTGATGACAGTAAGAGTGTTTCAACTGCTGTCAGACCATTGAAGCCAAAGAAAATATTTTCTGATGTGGAAACACAGACATTTCAGCCTTGTTGCTCTCATAACAAAGTTTCACCTTTGATGCCAAATGATCAAGTTTGTTCTGTTAATAAAAGGTCGTTAACATATAACGAGAGTTTGTTAACACAAAACCACAAAAGTTGTCCAATTAATAAGAGCATGTCATTAATGGAAAGTAATGAATGTTCAGCTAATGATGGCTCATCATTGGTGCCACAAGATGAATGTTCCACTAACGAGGATTCATTATTGATGCAGAAAGACAAAGGAGTTATGGTTGATATACAATTGGAAAGATCCAACATAGATGTGTTATGTAAACACACACAGGCTGGGTTTGATGAAAATTTTGACTTCACAATTGATAATGAAGATTTCAAAGAACTTGCTCACTCACAAACTCAAACAAGCTGGGGTTTAGCATTTGATAACTTTCCACTGTTTGAAGACAATGAAACACAGACGTTAGATTCATATCTTGAATTAGATGCATCAACTATTGATTGTGCTACTCAAACTATCCTTGATGAGATATTTTCAGTTGATCATGAGACACAGACCCTTTTGCCTTCAATAAATTTTGATGATGACTTTGGAAGCATACATTGTGGAAGTAGTATGGATGGTCAGACACAAACCTTGCCTTGGACAAATTTTACTGCTGATGAGACCCTTGATATTTTGAATGCCTCAAGCATGGATTGCCAGACACAAACTGTAACTTGGACAAATCTTACTGGTGCTGAGACCTTTGATATTTTGAATGCCTCAACTAACTCCAGCATGGATGGTCAGACACAAACCTTGCCTTGGACAAATTTTGGTGCCTCTTCCAATACTTTACAAGGCTCACCAGGCTCAAGTGTAGATGAGCAGACACAAACATTATTGTCAACAAATTTTGCTGACTCTGAGAGAACAGCCCCAGATATTTTACAAGCCTCGACAAACTCAAGCATGGATGGCCAGACACAAACAAATTTTACTGGTACTGAGACAACAACCCTGGCTATTTTGCAAGCCTCAACATCAAATGTAGAAACACAAACAGTGTGTAATGTTAAAAAAAATTGAAAAGAACTTTGTATCTTATGTAATTGAGTGTTTTATGCTGTTTTTGATGTGGTATTATAAAATGAAAAATTCCCACTCTGAACTGAAATTATCACAATTGGTAAATAATTTATGGTTTAATACAGTTGATTTGTTCAAACATTGAAATAACACATTATTTACATTATGTACACTATTTATAAATCACACTTAAAAAAACACTTAATAGATTGTAACTCATGAAAATATTGAAAGGTTCTTATGTTAAGCCATCATCAATAGCTTGTAGTCATTTCTGTTGTCAACAAGGCCATAATGTGCATAAATAACGTTTAACTCTACTTTTTATGCTGGCAATTGTTTTATCACAGAATAAATGCAGTAATCATTTGACTTCCATCTGCTCTTTCAAATGCTCAACAGTGTTGTTAATTAATAGGGTCATGTGACAGTACTACCATCTTTGACCATGCTGGTTTTGCAACTTCTGATTGGCCAGTGTTTCTTGATAAGCATGCTGATGTGGTGGTAATAGGTAGCCAGTTTAATTTCTGTTTTTGTTTTCTGTTTGGTTGAACATACTTGACTGGTGTGACAGGTGGTTTAAATGGTGCAAGTTTTATTTTTTGACTATGCAGGATATCACGGTGTATCCGACCAGTTTTTCTGTCGATTGTCGAACATTTGTTTGGTAATAGTACAGGAGGAAGATTTTTAGTCGTTAGTGTAATTGACGATGTTTGAAGATTGCCTTTCCAGCTTGTTATAGGTAATGGCTTCAGAATTTGTGGCTTTGGTTCACTGGTGGTAACAAGGTTATCAGGCCAGAATTCAGATTTTTCTTCCACTAGTGGTTTTAAGTGATTTAGTGGCATTTGAAGTCGATTATAATGCTTCACATTAATTTCTACATTTGAATCATTTTGTAAAAGTGCATTATTTAATCTACCAAAACCAGTTTGAAATCCGTTTCTTGCTCGCTGTCGTTGTACAAACCCGCCTAAATGTTGATCTAACACCCCAGCCGGATCAACAAAAGTTAATCTTCTCAAATCACCGACTCCAGCTGTGGCTGTGAAATATAAACATGGATGCGGACGTTGTATATATGTACAAGTTTCAGGATCAATAATAGTTCTCCATGATGGCACATCGTATGAAAGCACCCCTAAACTTTTACATTTATCATATTTATAATCATTCTCGTGCTCTTCCGTTGCTTTAACTTTCTTGTTTCGTTTCTTTGACGACTCACTTTTCACCGACGGACTGGCTTGCTCGGCTCGCCTTTCTCCTGTGGGACAAGCAATATATTTTACATTACAAATCACAGTTTGCCAGCCAGTTTGAAGTTCTTTAGCATCATAGACGTGTATTGTTTTCTCTAAAATACTTTGTTCGTCACTACAAGATAGCAAATTCTTAAAAATATCTGACACAGACAGTTTCTCAATGTATTTGTCGTCCGCCATGATATTTAATGATTTATTAAATATAACGTTGCTATGGCAACCACTTTATTAATTACTCCAAAATATTACACACTATTAATATTTCCATATTAATGATTTTTTTGGTATATTATTGAGGGCATTATGGGCACTAAACCGATAAACGGATTAAAATTGTCCATTTAAAAGCTTTTTCGTTTACAGTAATATTAGAACATTTTAAAAATTTGAAAACACCTTGAATCCAGGCGAAAATAATAGCCTGCAAAACGGGGCTGTAAATGGCGCGTTTTTACGGTCACGTGCGTATGAACGGGCTATTTGATTGGCTAATTCGGAAGTACGGACAAGCGACATTTTGTAAAGCGTTGTAAAAGTATATATTCTGTAACAAATGATAAAATTTGTACGCGAAATATGGTGACAACTAAACACTGTTCGTACGGACATTGCAAGAACGACTCAAGACTACCAGATAGGCCTACAATGAGGAATAGATATGGACAACCTGTGTTCTTTGTGAGGTTCCCAGGCAAGAAACGACGCGTTGAGAAATGCAAACGCTGGGTCGACGCGTGTATAGTCCGAGAAGGCCACATGTATAAGAAAATATCGTATGAAACACTGACTTACGATAATTATATATGTTCGCTACATTTCGTTGGAGAAAATGGACCAAGTGACAGTTATCCTGACCCAGTTCCTGCCCGTATGTCTGCAGAGAAACGCAGTGAATTAGAGAATAATTTCAGAAGACAAATGGCGTACTTTCTCACTAACTGTGCCTCCAAGGAACTTGCTTTGCTAAACCTTGCTTCAACATCGGGTTTAGCTGCTCATTCTAAGAATGCTTCTTTTGTGGAAATGGAAATTGCTCAAGTTTTAGTGAAATTATCAGAAAGAAAAGAAAATTAACGAGAAAACTCAAATTCTGAGAATTCTCAAACGTCATGATCAAATGATAGTATTATGAACAAAAATGAAATAGTCCACAATTCAGAATTAATGTAGATTTATTTTTATTGTAATCTTATGCTGATTTCAGACAGTTTTTTATATAAAGTGATGTTGATTAGGCTGTTCCAAAATTTCTTTGATGAGATTTTGGAGAGGTAATTCAAAGGAAAAATACCATGTTTCTCAAAAGCTTGACAAACATGGCAACATGGTGTATAGTTTCAACGAAATGAAACTACATTATATTCCGAATTTCTTAGAAAGGGGCAAGACGTGGCAAAGAACGCGTGTCACACGTCCACGCGTGTTTCGGGATCAACCTCAAATTCAAATATGGCGGCAGAATTTCTTGAATATTCTCCAAAGAGAAGAATGATTTTTGACAAGTTTTTTGGAAAAGAAGGCGAAGAAAAATGTCTAAATAGCATCTTGGAACATCATTTTAACTTCTCTGTAAGTAATAGTTTCAATAACATGGTGTTTAATGTTTTAATTTCACTTTTAAATTGTGACAAATACTGACAATAGTACAAAACATATTTTTGTAGGTTGGGGTGCTGGCACCTTCATTTTCCAAGCAGAAGTTGTATGAAAGTATTTCTAGCGTGTTTACTGAGTTTAGTTGCTTGGCTGAAGTTACACTCACAGAAATTTTAGACACAGAATTTATATTAAAGTTTGTAAAACCAGGTTAATTATAAAATGTTTTGTCTATATTTATCACGTGGAGAAAATATGTATTAAAGAGGTTTTACAGTGGCAAGAATTCTCCGAAACTGGCTGGGAAAATATCATGATCTTAAAACAGTAAATTAATATTTATACAATTTTTGCAATTTAATCTGCCATCAAATCCCTAATTTTCATTGTTTTTTAACATGTATCTGGTTACTTTTGTGCCCTTGACTGTATCTTGATGTGCACTTGAGAACTGTTTTGCACACCTGCACTTTGATTTTCTAACATTTGTGAACTCATGATTATGCCAAAAAGTGCCCAACTCGTGCAATCAACCTAAATAAACTAAATGAAAATTTAATATCAAGTTAATCAACTAAATCAATAAGTAATTAATTTTTTTTTATTTATTTTTTATTAACTTAACAATTGCATGGTTGATGGAAAGGACAACAGAACTATTTGTTCCCTATTAAGTCGCACCAAAAAAAATTTAAAATTACACTAAACATATAACAATACATAAAATTACAATCACAATATATCATGAACTATGACTATACAATCCTACATATTTATGAACAACAGTTTGTTTGCAATGAACGACACTTGCTACACAGAGTTTCCACGTTCTAGGTCTATCTATATTGAAGACAGTGTTCAGTTTGTTGGTATAATATATATATATATATATATATATATATATATATATATATATATATATATATATATATATATATATATATATATATATATATATATATATAGTTTAGTTTAGTTTAGTTTAGTTTAGTTTAGTTTAGTCTTAAATTAATTAAGGAGCAGTTTTTGCACAAAATATGACGTTTCAAAAATTGTTTCCATGTAGGTTCAGTGTGTGGTCTCAGCCATGGAACCAAAATTGACACGTCTGATTGTGCAGCTTTACTACCAACAGGTGAATTATCAAGAACACTCAATAATCTAAATCAGTGAATTTCCTGTATTCTGACATTGAATGATTTTCCAGGAATCCTTCATCTCTCACTTACTAAAGATACTTATGAATGTCTTGGTATTCAAGGAAAACCTTCACCTTTTAAAAACAGTCTCAGATTTGGTAAGGAATCTCTCTTTATAGAACATTTTATAGTTTGTATCAAGTACTTCAGAAATGTTTGTCTGTCAGTTTATATTACTGTAATTTAATAATTACTAATTAAGAACAGTACTAATTAATTAGATTAATGAAGGAACATTGTTAGTTGAAACTATATGAGTATCACTTTATTTTATAGACATTGAGATCAACTTATTAGCACAGTATTTTAAACCAAGCAAGAAATTTTATGAGAGGGCTTTAAGAGGATTTCTCAAAACTGGATTGAAGTTTAAATTTTTGTTTTCTGCAATATCAAAGTCAGATGGTAAGCAGTTGTTTCAAGTGAACTTGTTATATTTAATCAAGTTAGTTAATTAGTGAGTTAATTAGTTAATTAATGAGTTTATGAGCTGTATAGTATGCAATTAGCATTCCATTCTGCCTAACACCAGGCATTTTGTTTCTTAGATGATGAGCCCTCTAGACAAAAACTTGAAGCATATTTCAAATCACATGGCATAATCTATGAAGCATTCACAAACAAACAAGAACTGCAAGAATTCTCAGAACTGGACATTCCTGTAATTTCATACAACAATGAACCTTTCTTGGAAGTGGATTCAGAATGTAATGGCATTGCTTTCCATGAATGGTTGGGCTGTGTTGTCTGTGGAGTTGACTGGTATGTTGTTGGTTGATGTAAAGGAGTGTTGGTGAAGAGTTGTTGGTGCAAGGACAAGCCTAATTCACATCTCCCAAACACCACAGATTTTCCCTGGATAGTTTAGAATTGATAGAGATATCCAATATAAATAAAGTTAGCTTAATAAAGTTAGCTTAATTTATTAAAGCATATTCATAAGGACTGTATTGCATCATTTCCCCATGTAGTTCTGAATCAGCTTCTGACAGTTTTGTGAGTACATTATCATGTCCTCGACCACACCATCCTGGCAAAGCAGCGTTTTGGAAATGGACTGGATTCCTTCACTCTGATGCTGTTTGTGAGGTGATCAAGTTAGCAAGGTAGAAATAACTTGGAAATTTAAATTCTCAACTTTATGTTGATAATACAGGTTCTTACTATGAATATAACACATCTATGAAAGGTTGGTTAACCTCAAAATCTTCTATTGAAATTTTATCTTAAAGGCCAAGTGGATGAGTTGTGAATATTCTGATGAGGGTATATATATTCAGAACATTCTTAACTCATCTACTCATTTCCATCCATCAGAAAAAGAACATCACTAGAAATCACAGCAAGAATTGCAAGGTGTAACTACGAAAAGTTACACTTTATATGAGTTTGTCAAGTAACTCATCTTACTTGGGGTGAAACCATTGGTAATGAAGATTTTGAGGTGAACTCATTTGTGAACCAAAACTTATATATATATGTATATATTTCTTACAGGGAAGTGTTGAATAAAAATCCCCAAGTCCCTTGGCTCAGTATAATGATATGGGGGTTCAGTGACAGTCCAATATCATGGAGAGATCATCGGCATGGTTACTTTTTAAGTGGTGACAATCATTCGACTGTGGTGGTGTTTCAGAAGGAACAGTTATGGTTGTACAGGTCTCTGGGAGATCATGATGAACAACCATGAGTACATTCAGGGGATCTGGGGGTGTTCCTTGTGGATAAAAGGTGGAACTTGGGGTGAGTAATGTTGATAATTTTAAACTGTGTTTATTGTTTTGTGAGAATTAATCCTGGCTCGTATTTGATCATAAAGAAAACCCAACATGAGTTATACCATATGAAATGTTTGGGATAGCTTTCCATAAAAATGTGAAACTATACTACTGATTTAAGAATTTAAATTGTGGTGTTGATACGGTTGTCAAGCTAGAGTTCAACACACAATATCAAAGTTGAAATAAGCCCGCTCTACAGACTTCTGAAGCCACTGAACGTCTTTGATTGATTGGCCACATTGAGATGTTCCTCCTTTATAACAAAGAATTCCATTTTTACATCCAATAAATGTTCCTTTCTTCATCATGAAGGTTTATAATTCCTTGAACCTAGAATCTCTAAGTTGAAATACGGACATTCTGAAGTCCTCAAGAGTCTTTCAGAGATCAACCACATTGTGAGACTGTTATTCCTCCTTTGTAAGTAAACATACCATTTTGACATCCAAGAAACTTTCCTTTCTTGACTTGATCATGAAGGTTTATATTCGCCTCTTCCATGGCTGGTGTGTACAGAGCAACAATGCGAACACACGTCTTCTTTTCCTTACCGTATACTTTATAAGAAATACCAAAGTTCTTGCTGTCTTTCCAAATTACTTGACGGAACTCGGATTTTGTCTGTCGCGGTGAATCCTGCTGCCCAAAATCGTAAAAACACGCATCTTTGTACCTGGAGGACAGAAAGCAGAATTTGTCACGAAGTTCAAAATACATAATGATATTCACAAACCGGTTTTGCATGCTTCAGCTGCAAGGAAAGATTATACATCCAAGCTTTATCCAAAAATTATAATAAATCTTACCATTCTTTCGTGACTGCAGCGCCAGATATGGTGCCTTGACAAATATCAAACACATTCATACCAGCTTCACTTCTTATTATACCACCTCCCTCGTCTGGAGTGGTCTTTCTCAACGCTGCCCGACGTAGATTCTGACTCAATCTTAATGCAGGCACGCCATGCATGCCTCGTAACATATTATGTGTGTTGAGAGCTGAGGATACGAACGACTGTAAATCTAAACATAAAACACAGATCCTTAGGAGTAAGAAGTGTTCATCATTTACACCAGAATACTGTATTGGATCGAGGGCTTCACTCTGTGAGCGTTACAAGGCAGCAGATGGTGGTCAACTTGAGACATTTATACGAGTCAAAAAAATTAGACTGAATCTCTCAATTCTATTTATTTGCCTCCAAATACTGCGGATTTCGATTTACCGTTTCAGGGTTTCCATTTCCAGTGATTGTTTTTCCGTTAAAACGAACAAGTTGCTAAGGGCCAATGTCAATGTTACTAAGTGAAGTCTAGTGGTCTTTGTCCGTTGTTTTCTTATCCGTTGTTTTCTTATCCGTTGTTTATCATTTGTGAATGTAACTGTTATATTCGTATTTATCTCGTCATTGGCAACATTTTGATATATAATTTACGAAGCTTTGTGGATCATTTCATGTTTTTATTGATATTTTGGAAATTGTACCGTATAAAAGGCCAGTAAATAATTTTGAAGCCTTTTATACGCTACAATTTCCAAAATATCAATAAAAACATGAAATGATCCACAAAGCTTTGTAAATTATATATCAAAATGTTGCCAAAGACGAGATAAACACGAATATAACAGTTACATTTACAAATGATAAACAACGGACAAGAAAACAACGGACAAACCGGAAATTAAAGCGCTGAAACGGTAAATCGAAATCCGCAGTACAAGACTACAGTATATGAGAAGAGTTATCTACTGTACCACTTATATTCGCGTCAAGATGCCAAGTTCAACAACACAGAAACATGTACACTTAAGAATACCTTCCATTGCTCCCAAACCACCAGCACTGCCCCCTGCTATACCATTCTGTCCTGCGACCATCCCTTTAAACTTCCCGCGCCGAACATTTCTTCTAAAGTTTCTTTTTGTTCCTACATATCCAGTAGGCTGATATCTCGCACAATAAAATACAAACATTTGTCCTTTCACTTTCCCAACTGCTCTTCCTACACCGATACGTCGCGTCTTTCTCCAAACGAGTTGAACGAACGCTGAATATGGGGCTCCATTTCTCCCCTTATGTTTCTTAAAGTCGTACTTATATACTTGATCATACCTGAATCAGTGAGAAATTTTAGTGAGCTTTGTTCTGGTTTTAGGTAGACTTTTGGGGCAACCTTGCAACTCTTCATAATCCTTGCAATCCTGATCTTGGCAAAACCTAATCCCGGGGCCGGTGAGAGATTGTGTGGTGCCCTGCGCAAAACCTTCCCAGCGATCACTATGTATTTTATATTTTCAAGAAAATCACTACCTGGTGGAAAGCGCTACCTTCGTACAACCGGCTCCAGAAAAACATGAGCATGCCTCTACTTATGGATTCATCCTGCTCGAAAGACCATCTAGTGACTTTCTACTCACCATGTTTTAACCACCGTAGCTCCAGTAATAGGAACAGCACTCATGAGTAAGTTCTCACCAATTTTGATACTCGTGAAAGACTGTGAGTGTCTTATTTTCTTGACGCTGTTTGCCAGAGTTCTTGCATACGCCATGGCAGCTTTGGATAACTTTGGATCGAGTCTCAGTGCTTTAGCGTTGTGAATCTTACGATATTTATTGTGTGTTTGTAAGACATCCTGCTGGTACCCTTTAATTCCTGAAAAACATTTAAACTATGATTAGTGTACGCCGAGTAGTCTTACGCGTATAGAAAATTTTCTTGTTCTAGTATGGAAGTATATATTAGCTAGTATATATTGCCTTACGGCAGGGGCATATTAGTCTACTCCAGTAGTTACCTTTACTGCGACCCTAGACTACCTGCAGTTTTTATTTTATCCTTGCTAATGAACATAACGTCCCAAACCAAAGTTAAAAGACGCAAAAAGTACGTAGTATATTTACCCTGTGAAAACACGAATTTCCCCTTTGCCGACAAATATCCACCATTCCCTGTCCTGCCAAGATTCAATGACATTCCCCCTCCTAGCCCTCCAGCTCCACCAAAACCCATATTCATACCAATGCCTCCAGTGCCCCCACCAACAGCTCCTCCCATCTTACCACCAACAGAACCACCCATCTTACCACCAACAGCCCCACCCATATTACCACCAACAGCCCCTCCCATCTTTCCACCAACAGCCCCACCCATATTACCACCAACAGCCCCACCCATATTACCACCAACAGCCCCACCCATCTTTCCACCAACAGCCCCACCCATATTACCACCAACAGACCCACCCATATTACCACCAACAGCTGCTCCCATCTTACCACCAACAGCCCCACCCATCTTACCACCAACAGGCCCGCCCATATTACCACCAACAGCCCCTCCCATCTTTCCACCAACAGCCCCACCCATATTACCACCAACAGCCCCTCCCATTTTACCACCACTGGTTTGACCACCAGATGTACCCCAACTCCCCTGTCCACCATTACTAGCACCATTTGAAGCTGAATTTCCAGAAGAACCAGAAGCACCCTTATTTCCACCAGATGTACTCCAACTCCACTGTCCACCATTACTACCGCCATTTGAAGCTGAATTTCCAGAAGAACCCTTATTTCCACCAGATGTACTCCAACTCCACTGTCCACCATTACTACCACCATTTGAAGCTGAATTTCCAGAAGTACCCTTATTTCCACCAGATGTACTCCAACTCCACTGTCCACCATTACTACCACCATTTGAAGCTGAATTTCCAGAAGTACCCTTATTTCCACCAGATGTACTCCAACTCCACTGTCCACCATTACCACCACCACCTTTTGAAGCTGAATTTTCAGAAGCACCCTTATTTCCACCAGATGTACTCCAACTCCACTGACCACCATTACCAGCACTGTTATCAGTTGTACCACCATTTGATTTGGAGTTCGAACCCCAACTAGTACTCCATGATTTTGCATCTGCCATTTTGTTGGCGGAGTTACCATGTGTCTTTGTCCAGTTTGCAGTCTTCACAAAACCCTCTCTTGTATTCCCTGCATCGTGCATTGTACTGTATGTTCCATCTTGTAATACTTTACGATGTTTGATTTCAGAACTGTGCTCATATCTGGCGTTAGAATGGTGTATGTTGGTTGGAGTGCTCTTTTGTGCTCTGTCTTTGATGTGCACGACAAGAGGTGAATGACTCCCATCTTTTATGTGTATGTCTACGCTGTTTTTTCTCACTGTTGACCCTACAACTAAAACTATTCTATGAGAGAGTGTGCTAATGAAAACCAAGCATAAGATTGGGTTACTCACACAAAGTGGAACACTAAACAGTGTAGTGTATTAGCTAGCAAATGTACCACACAAAAATGCATTTCAAGGCCTGTATACCCAGACAATTACCACCACCTGTTTGAAAATGTATCACTTTAAATTAAAGGTATATTGTTTGTAAAATTAATATAGCTTCGCTGCCAGGCAAAAATGTCGGGGGTATAGAGAAGAAAGCAGTGGGGTCCCTAACTTAGACAAATGAGGCAATAGAATTCAATCGAAGTGTATCAATTTTATCATCGTAATATATCAGTATTACGTGTTTATATGCACATTGTAATTGCTACAATAAACTGAAATTAATTAGAAACAATTATCGCTTACCTTTCGCTAAATATACCAGAACAACATAGATAGATAATGGCTTCATTTATGTACAAAATGTTATCATTTCTCAGTCGTTTTGTTCAGAGTATTTTTAAAATTGAATAAACTTCTGTTGTGTAAACGTTGTTTATTCCAAGGTTTGTAGGAGGCCCGCAGTGCTTTTGAGGTTTTCAATTCATGTTTCACAGGTGACCACAAACTTTCACGTCCCAGATTTTACTTTTATAATTTGTCCAAGCGGAACTAGTTCCCCAGAATGTTTTCATCAACTTTAAATGGTTTAGCAATATAAAAGATGGAACTTTTCTATGAATTCATTTGAATTGAATTTCAGCAATAATGCATATACTACTGATTTTGATTTTATTTTTTTTTAAGAACTTTATTGGGTCATTAACAACTACATTTACAATAATTATACTAACAAATAATTGGGCAAAGATACACTAATTTAAAATAACAACAACAAAAGAACCCAATTGGGAAAATTGCGAACGAGACTCCAAGTTCCCATGCGGGGCACTTCCCCTAAAAAAGTAAGTTTATGTCCTATGGCAGGAGCCACGTACGAGGATCCATGTACCCGGTTTTCGGGTGATTGACAGTCGTGCTACAAACGCGCTTCACACAAGAGGCCCAGCTCTTGTATTATAAAACTTGTGTTGGAGGAATAAGTCAACGTTGAAAGTTGTAGTTCAACATTGGATAGGAAACATGAAAATAATTGCAGAGATGCAAGGCTGTGTGCGCAGTGCTAAAAGTTGTTGCGTTTCAATGAAACTTTTTTGCGTTTCTTTTGTAAATATAATGAGTGTATTGTAAAAATCTCTCTCGCATTTGTGCTATTTCAAAATTGTAAACGCTTTTCATTGCATCAATAATTCAACGCTAACTTGCTGTGGCAAACAGAAACATTTTTCACCAGCAGACGAACAAACTATTTTCCTTCGCAATGATTCGAATTTTTTGCGACCGCACAATGCAACTTTGACCTTTCTTCACATGACGTCTGTGTACCTGCATTGTGATTGGTCAATTTTGTCAACATAACGTCATCCAAATTTGGACCAAAACAAACCAACTCCTAAAGCCACAAAAACATGGTCCGTATTTCTTATTTGGAAAACGATGGAGCCAAATTCAGAGGACGTTTCTGCGGCTACTGTTGAAGTGAGTGAAACTACAGCCCCTGAAGGTGAAAGAGGCGAACCCGCAGCGAAAAAACTGTGTTTAAAACGAAGTTATGCGAGCGAATGGCAAAGTGAAGGCGGCGAATGTTCTAGGACGACTGCAACGACAGTGAAACTAGAAAAGCGTTTATCAACTGTCCTTTGTTGTACTGTATGCCTAGATCTGCCACTTAGCACGATCTTTCAGGTATTTATATATTCTTACCAATTGTATTTATGACATTGGCATAAAGTTTGAAATATACCATGTAAATTTTTACATATGCCAAACTGATTGCATCAGTGATTCAGCGATATTGAAACATATAATGCTTTAATTAGCAACACAAATACAATATATAATTGTGAAATACTTTACTTACTGTTTGTCATGGGGGAAATTATAATGAGATTGTGAAAAATCTTATTTTGTGATATACAAAAACAATGTCTGGGCTATATAAACAAATTTGTTGTATTGTTTATATAATAGTCACACCTATAACCCTAAGTGTCATCACTGTCATGTGACCTTGGGGATCACAGTATGTAGTGCCCACACCTAAATATATGTACAACTGAGGCCTTTTTCCTGACTACTTATAATCTCCCTTGTGTTGTACACTACTTACAGCTTGTACTGGCAAAATAACCTGTGAATAAAGCAATAAGCTCTGTAGAAGTTGCTGTCAGATCATTTTATAACTCGGCTTGTAAAAAGTATATAAATAAAACAAACCTTGATTTGTTCCTCTAGTGTCCAAATGGTCACCTTATGTGTGCTGGTTGTTTAAACCATCTACTGGCAGATGGTCGGTTAAAGAATGAGATGCCAACATGTCCAAACTGTCGTATTGAGATCACAGAGTCGCTATGCATGCGAAATCTGGCTGTTGAGAAGGCTGTGTCAGAACTGCCTACCAAGTGCAAATTTTGTCAATGTGATGTACCTCGCTGTCATATTGGGAAACATGAGAAAGATCTGTGCTCTGACAGGTAGGTGCCCACCCCTATGAGTAATTGGTTCATATAGGTGGGTTTCAGTAACAGGACAGCAAATGATAAATAGAAGCAAAATACCTCCAAATAAAAGACTACTACTTATAATGAAAGGAATCAACACTACTCTCTCACCCTGATAACCGCTGGTCGACCATGATCTGTAATGCAATGTGGAACTCACTTATTAGTGACATGGTGGTGAAAAATAAGACTGCATATTTTTGTGACTTCAGGTTAGTTTCATGCAAATACGAGAAGATTGGCTGTCATTGGCAAGGAACTTCACAAAAACGGGTGGATCATGAGGAACGATGTGCTCAAGCAAGAAAAACTGGTTTGGAAATCATGGAAAATTTGGAGAAATGTTCAACAGACGAGGAGACAAAATTTAACTTATATCAATCGATATTTGCCCTGTTGTCTTATGGCAGAACTTCAATACATGGTATGGTACACACAGTAACTATTTGACGTGGAATTCAGTAAGCACTACAGGGTAGCACATGTGGTGAAGAAATGTTGATAACTACAGCATGATGACGCTTAGTGAAACCCACCTACTATTAAAACAGTATTAATTTCTAAGAATTCATCTCTAACTTTTCCAGATTTACAGTTGCGACCAAGACGTACTGATGACTTCATTCCAGAACTTTTCTATGAAAGCAATCGTTTCACGTGTTTTGGCAAAGATTGGATGCTCAGATCTCAAGTTGTTGGCAATGAGAAAAGTTTGAGACGAGGATTTACATTTCAGTTGATTCTCACAACAAAATCCAACGTGTTTGTTAAATTTATATTTGTACGAAGTCCTTATGGAGACCTTGATACAAATCCTGTCATCTTCCAGCATGAGTTTACACAAGATAGTCAAGAATCGCTCGAACAAGATTTGCCAGTATCGCAAGATATTGATATCAATAAGTTGCTTGCTGCTAGAGTGGTATCTCTCAGGCTCATTATGTTCCTGGGCAAAACATAGCTTGTGATGTGCAAAATAGAAATAACATATAGAATTTATTGTAAAAGAAATTGTATTATCTTGGTAGAGAGGGAACGGACATATTGAAAATATTTATTATTTTGTTTATATTAAGTTATATTTTATATCAAGTGTGAAGAGTATTTATTAAATATATACAGACAGTATTGCAAGTGAAAGTAATTGTTTACAATTGTTCAGTGTTTGGCTACAGTAGAAAAATGAATATAAATTATTGTAAAGCTCTAACAAAAGCAATATTTGCCACAACCAAAAAGTAATGAAAGATATCTATACGAAGATACCCTATCAAGTATCCAACAGTACCAATAACTGTGCTTGCAACTGCATACAAGATTGCTCCAGCCATAGCCAGGACATTGTCAGCTCGAAAACTTTGCAACAAAATACTAAGTATTGCTAGTGTTGATGCAAAATGTGTACATGCATCTTTGAATTTTGGCAAGAGAATTGACAACATTATTCCTGCAATACCGCTGATAATGTGAAGTTGAGAACCATAATCTGATCTGTACTTGATGGAGAATGATGCTGCTATTAGTGGGATTCCTAGGGTCGAGAAATTAAAGTAATAATAAATTGAAATGCTGGTAAAGTATGTTTCTGCAAAATGGGGTGGGGGGCATGGTCAAAGGGTGTAGGTTGTCATCCAGCAGTTAATTATGGATCTTGCCTAACTGTAGCAAAAATCACTGTCACTCCCACAAACGTCTGTGACTACACCTACATTTTTTTGCAAGTTTGCAATTCTAGTTTTAAACGACCGATCCCGTTCTTGGTAACAATGCTACAAAACGTTGATTGGCGGTTTAAAATTGGAATTTGGTACAAATGTTTGCCGCAATACCACAGTTCGGTGAGATTTGTAATGTGTTAGTTCATTTCATCATATGTAGAAGTCTTGGAAATAAAATATAGCGATTAAATTGCTGGTTGCTATATTAACTTATTAAGTTTCAACATTTCTGAAGTTGATCACCAGGTCTGTAATGCTTTTATACTGAAACTTTAATCTACTCATTTACAATAGTTACTCACCCAGAATCGTTGCAAACCAGGACAGTTTAGTATGTAAAGAGATGACAGCATTTCGACGGTGTAGTGGAGCAATATTGAGAAACCTGATCATGCCTACCCCTGCCGCTAGAGCTATGACCAGCAAGCCTACTGCTGCATGAATATATCGTCTCGCTATCACACCAGCCCCGTAAAATGATGAGACACTCAATACTAAATCAGAAATAGCTGTAGAAATTTGTGCCATTTTAAAATCTTTGAAAACGTTTTACTTCGAAATATTTCAAATATATTGTATTTGTTTTCCTCCGAGCTTTGCCCGATCCTAGTGCGATCATTTCCGAAGGTAAATTGTATACATGAAAATATAAACAATGATTTTTTAATAGAGAATGCCGTAAAAGTTTATTTTAACAGGTGAGAATTGATGAAAATGGTATACTTTTGACGTAAAGCTTGTGTACCGGAAGGATTGTCCAAGATTATGTTATTTGTCCGAGTCATAGTTTGCTGTATATAGGGGGAACATGTTCGAGTTTATTTCTGGGTAATCAGTGTAACTCCTGCACTGATGTACCCATATTTTGGCCAAGTCATTTTTCTGTCCCTGCCATCCCATTAGGAAGGTAGACTGTCCGACCTTGCAGAAAGGACAACCCCATGTAGGAAACATTTCCACCAGAGGCCATCATGTCCATAATCCATATTCAAGTAACTTGTCATGCAAAATGTCAAATTGACATCCCCTAATAATTTTTTACTTTAGTTCCAAATTTTGTAATGAATATTTTACCAAAAAAGAGGTACTGTAGTAAACTTCATTGATAAAAGATGCATTAATTTCAAATACTAGATGTTATGATACAGATAGTATGTTTGCTTCATGAATCTTACACTGCGATCAGTTGCTTTTAGGTTTCAAAATATTGCACTTTCAAGATTTTGATAACTTTTAATCTGATTTTAGTTGGCATGTTAGAAACAAGGATAACATTGCTCGAGTTCGTCGAGATGAAGAAAACGCAAGATTGGAGGAAGAGAAGCTTGCGGAAAGAGCAGCTTTAGCGGTAAAGATGATTTTTGACATGAGAATTACATCTTTTTCAGCCATGACCCGGCAGTTTACTGTGGAGTACTTTAGATGAAACTGATCCTTGCATTAAATATTATCTTTCACTTTTTCAAGGAACAAGAAGCGAGAACTAAATTACTACGTGACAGAGTGAAGAATGATTCACAGTCCAGTTCTATTGCCAGTTCAGTGTCTACCTCAGTAGTACCATATGATGAACCTAGACATATCAATCTATTTCATGAGGAAGAAACAGGTTCTGGGGTAAGCATATTATTATTTAACCCATTAAGTTGCATTGCACCCTACATTTTATTTTACTCTGTCTAATGCCAGACAATTTTACTTTCAAGGGGAGAGTGCTGGTGCTGAATGGGTTAAATATCTGCCTCGTACCCAGGCGCTTTGGTTTGTTTATGTCATTAAGCGCACATGGATCGATCAAATTGATCCGCGGCCCACGCAAAGGCCACGCAAGCCATAGAACAACATAGCGCTTGGGTACGAGGCAGGTTAAATATTATAAGCCAGAGGCATTCTGATCACAAAATGATATTTTTGCACCACCTGACTGTGGTGTTGAACACTGGTCTGTCATTTTATTCCAGGGTGCAACAACAAATGCGGAATATGAAGCAGAGAAAAAAGCAGAACAAGAAAAAAAGGAAAAAGCACTTGGAGTTTTGAAATATCTTGGTCAGAGCACAAGTGAAGGTGAATAGATTTATAAGTGTAAACACAGGTGGCATTACTTGAGCAATGACTGGTTTAGCTGAGTTGTTTACATGAAGTGATCAATTGGTCTAGATCATAAAATTTGTTTGACTTTCAGATCCTAAACCATGGTATCTTCAAAAAGGTACAGACAAAAAAGAAAAATCAAAGTCACAAAGGTAATTTATTCACCATTAATTATAGCTCCCACATTGTTATTTTAAAATCCAAATGCCCTTCAATATATTCTTACTTCTGGTATTTTTAGCAGCCAAGATGATGATAGGAAAAGTAAATTGGATCCTATGGTGAAGATAAATGCTTTCTTGGATGAAACAAAACAAACTGAATCATGGAAAAAAGAGAAACGAAAGAAAGAAAAGAAACAATGCAAGGTTGTAAACATTTGTCATTTCCATGTTCAACCAAAGTTGTGATTCACCTGGTGAGTTTTTGTTAACTTTTTCATGTTTAGGAAAAATCCAAATCAGGGAAGAAGACAATGGAAGACTTAAGAAAAGAAAGACTTCAGAGAGAGAAAGAGGAAAGATTCCGAGCAGAAAAACTTATCAAGGAAAAAAAAGAAGGAAAATCAGGAAACACAGATGATGACCCATACAAAGACAGGTACCCAGAAGGATCTTGAATGGTCTGTGTAGGGAGTGGCAATAATAAGAAAGTTGCAGATTGATAGGGATACAACTACCTGAAAAATACAAGGAGAACGTCGATGTTTCAAGCGAAGGCCCTTCGTTGGAAAGTTAGTAGCAACTAACTAGAGACTAGTTGGCTATGCAATGTTGATGGAGTATTTGGTGTGATAGTTATCTGAAAGATTTATAACTTTTCAATGTTTTGAGGATACAGTCAGCACTGACTATATTATCTTTTCATTCCATATAGTTACTACTCCCAGTACAACCCTGACCTGGCCAAGAAACCTAAATGGAACAGAAGACATCATCCCTATTAGATTTGTGGTTCACAAGTGCAAGAATGTTGGTGGTCAAAGAACAAAGAGGGCAAATTGATATTGCAGTTGTTCATTTAGGAATTTCAAGTTTTTACTTGGCTCAATATTGTGGAACTGCAAGATTGTGAAACCTAAAAGTAACTGATCGTGAAGTAAGATTCATGAAGCAAACTGCCAATGGATAGAGATTAAACATTGGAGGTACGAAAAACAATGGTTATCTCTCGATATTCTCACCAACAGCATTTTTTATAACTAGCTCTTCTGAGAGATGAAGTAGACAACTATTAAACATTCAATTTGCTTTTGTGTTTTCATATTTTAACTGACAATGAGAACCATCATTTATTTACAACATTTAGGTAGAGTTCATAGTACACAATTCTACATCATCTGAGTATAAAACATTAGTTACAAACAAAAAATTAAATATGAAGAGAACAAAATCTAGGGTGTTTCACATGACTAAGTCAGGTCATATTCTGCATATAGTTCATCCTATAATCCACCTCAAACAGCAAAACATAAGATTGCATTCTATCTTCTGCCTCGTCCACGTCCTCTGGGCCCACCTCTGCCCCGTCCTCGACCACGCCCTCTACCCCGACCAAGAGACACTAGGATGGTAAAAAAGTAAGCATGGTTATTTACTGCATAAGCTGAAATATGCATTAATATAACTTTGCTGGTACAATAATGGATAAGGTCCATGACAATAAACTGATTTTAAAAGGTTTAGAACATAATTTTTGCAACATACTCGCTTCTCGTTTCCTTCCTTTGGCGCGAGGAGGTTCCTCAACCAAAAGTGTATCAATTGGTAAACTCTCAGGTAGGATGTAGTAACGAATGTTGTTGCCACGGATACTCAGGCTATCCAGTTGTACGGGGTCTTTGTTTTTTATCGTCATTTTCACCGTCTTCAAGTGAGTGTTCATGCTCATATCAACACCTGGTTCAAGAAAATAGAGATTAGCATGGCGGATAATGAGAGCCACTAGAAAGTGGGAGCCACACCAAGGTTGGTAAATCTTAACCCGAACTGTAATCCACACTCCACTCACATTTATGTCACAGTGGCAATGTTGATGATTTTCAGCACATATTTATCATTGGGATTCATTGACTGATGCCATTTTCTTACAAGGGGTTTGATGGCAACCAACCAATGAGTGTATGTTTTGATTATACAAATTTTTTTCTAACAAGCCAAGTACTCTCAAGAGTCGAATTAGAAAGCGTTTATATCTATCACAACTTTAGTTGCAAATATAATTTATGTCAATTGTCAGACAAATCAACACACTGTCACTGAACCATCACCAATTTTCACACAATGCAGAAATCACCCAATTCCACCATACCTGCAATCGTGCCGTGTATCACTGTACCATTTTTCAGTTCAATAGTCACAGTTTCATGGCTTAATTTCATCAAAAACCTATAAGAATATGCATAATGGTTAGTCCTCGCATGGAAACTCGACTACTCCAAATAGAACACTATTTTTGAATGATTCTTCAGGTAAGTAGCAAAAATACATAGCAAAAAACTAAATACTATAACGATGCAACTACTTACTGCACCAGTTTCATTTTGGGTCGTCGGATGCCTTCTTTTCCCAAAGGATTCCAAATAAAAATTGAATTTATGAATTTGAGGTGATTTGTGATCGTTCTTCGGACGTTCGCGCCACTCGCTTCCTGGAGGCTTGGGATCGATGTCGCGGTTGTTATGGTAACATGACGACAACACACGAAGAAGAAAACAAAATGGCGGCGTCCGATGTCGATGTTAGTAGCTCAATTGATCAAAATGAGGACAGAATTGAAGAATTAACCGACGAAGAATTATATAATCTTGTTGAAGAGACATTGTAAGTTCTATCAACGTCAAATTTGTGTCCACCACTCGTGAATTCCGCTTTGAAAACGTATGTTTACCTGGCATGGAGCTGTGTGGAAACGTCAAATATGTAAAAAAATATTTTCTTTTAGGCAAGCTAACAATGTGCTCAAGAATGAAACCAATATGTTTGAAAAATATCTGAAAAGAGTTGATACAAAAGACAGTACTGGCACAGGTATTTGCTTATTGCGAAATACAAAATCACTCAAGTACACATTTAAAACAATTGTTGGGTAATTTTAGAGGAATGAGGGGAAATATTCAATAAATAAATTTTGAAAACTACAAAATGATTATCATTTATTCAAACTTAGGTACCATGTTAGTTCAAGCAGTTCAGGAACAGACAACCTCAAGAACATTTAGAAAACGTACTCGATCAAGAGGACAATCAGTTGATAGGTACATGTGTACATAACTTATTATTATAAACTTGTACCTAAAAAACGAGTAATAAAAATACATACTTATACCTGTATCATTTCATTGTGCAGAAATTTAAAGCTTACAGCTGAACAGAAATGTGACATTGCCCAGCGAGAACTGGAGGAACTCAAAGAAGAAATAGAGAAATTGAAAGATGAGTCTGAAAGAATTCTAGATAATTACAAGGTATACATGTGGTGTGTAATGACAAATTTTGTATCTAGAGTTTGTATACACAATTGTTGAAAGATTCCTATATACTGTGCGCTTTTTTGTAGGCAATTATGGAGGAGGCTGATATCCAAATAGCTGAAACTAAGAAAGCTTCATACGAATTTAACAGAGACATTGTTCAAGGATCTGTAAATGCTGTATGTACTGATGTCTTTGTTATATATTTATGTTTGATGAGCTTACAAATATTTAAATTTCATTTTGTTCTTTTGTCATTTTTAGAGAACAAGTAAAATAATTGCTGAGAAAGTTGTCAGATATTTTGAAGACAAGATCAGGAGTAGAGTAAGTTGTGTTGCTTGTTTGGCTCTGGTTAATTTAATTATGTGCTTTGCGGTAAAGTAAGAAATGAAATTAGTGAGGTAATTAGCAATATCTAATGTAAATTAGAAGTGTAATTAATTGACATTATTGTTGTTGTTTTTGAAACAGGACACACTTATTGAAAAACTTCGTTTAAAGAACTCAACATTTCGAGTACAGAAGAAAAAGTTGCAAATGCAACTGAAACAAGTATGTCTTCATTGTTTCAGCGAGCAGTGCGTTTAAAATAATGAAAATAAAAGTGTTTAAAATGTTGAAACTGGATGTTGTTTCTAGAAAGAAGAGATGGGTGAAGTTCTACACGAAGTTGACTTTAATCAACTCAAGATTGAAAATCAACAATATCTGGAGAAAATTGACGACAGAAATAAAGATCTGTTGAGATTAAAACTCATGACTGGAAACGTCTTGCAAGTTTTGAATACCTACAAGGTTTGTTGGCCAAAGGTTTCATGAATTGTCAATTTGAACTGATTTTGGACGTCAATGACTCGTAATTTCTCCTAGAAAAAGCTGCATACTCTGACTGTGGAATCAGCGCAATTGAAACAAGAAATATCTTCAAGAACGGAACTTTTATCAAGAATTGATACAGAAACCAGGCTGGTGGAAAAGGTAGAAGTATACTGCACTTTCTTCCTGCTCAGATTGTCCATGTTTTTAACAGATAGTTACAACGCATCTTAGCGTTTTCCATTCTTTACAAATTTTCGACTTTTTGTATAGGAACGAACAAAAGCGTTAGAATTGAATCAAAAACGAAGACAGCAACTAAGTGACTACAAAGTTCCCGAGGTTAGACAAAAACAATAAGTGTTGATAATTTACTACAATCCAATACCTCAATAATTGTGCTGTTTCTTTTCAGGTGCTGGACTACGTGAAGGAACGAGCAAGTCTTTACGAACTGAACAAAACTGTAAGAATGTGGGAGAGGAAAGTTGAGATAGCTGAGGTAAAATGAAATGATAGCCTGTGTTGGAATGAAGTGATCATGTAATGATGGATTTTATTGGGGTTTTTTTCATCAGATGGCGTTAAATACATACAGAAAGACCTGGAAACAAATACAGACCCATAATTCCATGGCATCGTGGTTCAGCAATGAAAGACGAGAACCACAACAAACCTAGCCGGGCTCTCATGCCTTAGGCACAAGAATACAATGAAAAAGTTCGTCACAAAGCTGGCCACTGTTGATAGCTCCGTGGCGGAGCTGTTTATAAATGTTGTACATATTTTTGTGGATAAAATAAATAACTGATATTAATTAAAAGTATTCAGTAGTGTATCTAAAGAGCATGTATTAAGCAGTAAGCATATAGACCAACACGCTGTAGTTCAACCCAGTGAGTTCAACCACATTTTCATACATGTCTGCATTCTTCATCTCTAATTAGCATTTTGAGCGAGATTTCTGCGGAAATATTATGTTGTTGCCATTGTACGTGTACTAGATAGAATGCGTCTACTGTGCAAAAAAGGTACAAAAGTCGAAAGGATATTTAATTTTTGCGAAAAAGTAAAGAAGACATTTCAATAAAACGTTGGTTTCGAACACGGGTTGAAACGGATTAGTTTCGCCAGTTTGACGTGATTTTATTTTTAAGTTCGAGCTTGCAAGTCAAAGTACCCGTAGTATGCTGTTTTTCAATTGAAGTTGTATAAATCTGTTACTGATTTTAAATTTGTTACTGCAGTACAGATTTATATAAAGAGATGGCAGCGTCATTTTGGATTTCGTGATCACAGACATAAGTAAGCCAAAAAGCTGCTGTGATTACGGTCAGTATAATCTGCGGACTGCAGACCGGACTGGGTACAAAATGCAGACTGAGGATAAAATGCAGACTGGGGGTGAATTAGGGATATTTTACAAATTCCCGCCAAGCCATAGTCACGTGATCGTTCTTGTTGATAATATTTTAAAATGTTGAAGCTAGTCAGTCACTTTCATCAAAATGGACGAAGAAGACAGCGATGTAGAGGTATTGATATTATATGAATATTTATATTATTCTCATTCAACCGTAAAACTTGATAACTTTAACACATTTCTTTGCGTTTAATATTTGAACGTTTCGTTCACGTTGCATTAGATCGGAACAATGAAATCTGGACGTTTTGAGTGTGAAAGCTAGTTTTGTTGGCATGTGGAAAGCAAAAGTAGCGAAGGTAAAGAGATTAAAATTGGATTTAGTGCGTATTTTTGAAAAAATTTTACCACAAAATATGGTAGTCCCCCCCCCGTCGATGACACTTGTGACGTCAGGTACATACGGGACTTTGGAGGCGGGTTTTGGCGGGAAAATCTGTAATGTTTGGAGAAGACAAGATGGCGCTGGTTACCTCGTGTTATATCAAACGGCATGTTTGTTCAAAAATACCCGCTTATTTTACGTTATAGCGACTGGTTCGTTTTGGAAATTATAACTCAATGGACGGGGAAAATGGTTCTGTATTAAAGAGAAAATGATGTGCAGTTATTGTGATGTTATTTGTTGTGAAAGACGGCCCGAAATTTCGCTACTTCGCAGTACTGGTTTATAAAACATTTACAAGCAACAGCAATTGAACTATATGACAAAGAAACCAATGTATACAAGCCAATCAAGTTCTTCAGTTTAAAGGTCTGTTTACTTTTTAATAATTAGTTCATTTAGTTGTACATTAATACGAAGTACTGGAACAGTAGTGACAGTACGCCTAGTCACAGAACAGGAAGGTATACCCATTGAACTAAAAATAACTGGAACGATACCTCCAGCCGGAAATGTGAAGCCATGCCATAGAAATAATAGACATAATAACTATAAAACTGGTAAACTAAAAAACAATTCAAACAATCACAAAAAATGGCAAAGTCACAGTTGCAAGTCAATTACCTACCTGTGAAATGAAATTTTCCTCGCAAGAATATCTCTTTCCTTGTGCATCCAGAACGACACAATATATTTGAAAAAGCCTATTCTTTTCTCCACACAGGGAAGTTTTCCTCGACTTTTTTCTGACAGCGAACTCAATGCAATAAATTTTAGGAGCAAAACAGTTTTCTCCTAAAATGTATTGCATTGAATTGGCCATGTTTTTAATTTTTTTTTTCGTGATTGCGTTCAAATTTATACTGGCCGTGCAACAGTTTGCAAGAGGGGGAATGAAATGACGTCCAATCCGCGTAAACCTGACGACTGACGTCCAATCCGCGTGAAAGACTGGTATCGAGGCTTCATTGTTTTCACAATCAAATGACTGAATGTTATCATTCCAGATATATATATATATATATATATATATATATATATATATATATATATATATCCCACAGGAGAATTTAATAGCCAATTTTCTGGAAAATTTAGCCCAATTTTCTGGAAAATTTCCTGGTTGTTTTCCCTGCAGCTTGTTTATAAACATGCTTGTTTATCTATAGCATCATTTGTAGAAAAGGTGTTGAAAGCATTTTTTGAAAGCAATGACGTATTATCAAATGACAAATGATCATGCGAGCGACACTTGCTAGGAAGATGGCGACTGTGGGACAACTATATAATAGTTTTGTTTGTGGAAACACCACATAAATTTATTACTGCAAAGCTTTCGATCCGTAAGCCCGGATCTTCATCAGTGCTAATATGTGACTTGTTTAATTCACACGCCCTTTTTATATACAAAAAATGTCTTGATCTGTTGGCTCACATATTATTAGCACTGATGAAGATCCGGGCTTACAGATCGAAAGCTTGGCAGTAATAAATTTACGTGGTGTTTCCACAAACAAAACTATTATATGTTTTATCGCCATGCAAACATACAAAGAACTTATTGTGGGACAACTTTTTTACTGAAGTTATACATCTGTCTTCACTTAATCTGTGGCTCAGCTGGCTAGACCTTGATTCTTGCCTGTGGTCCCCCTTTGCATTTGACCCAAATGTTTTGGTCATTTTATATTTGCCAATATAAATCTTTTTGGCATAGAAATTATACATTTGGAATAATAATTTTGTATGCTGCATTCAATCTATTCTCCATTCAGGGAGATTCTTTTGTAAATACCCACACCAATCAGAAGTCTGTATTTTTATGCTAAGACAGAAATTGGCATCCCAGAGAGTAAATTATATTCAAGTTTAGGGCATGTTGCAGCTCTATATCTTGCCGTTGCAAGTTGCTTTGCGTTTGATGTTTGTTCTGGGATAAAATATTGAATTATACCTTAAATTAATGTTTTGTGAAATTTAGTTTAAAACTCTTTGACGGCAAGTCGGTTTCGCAATACATTACGACTTAATTTTGCTATTGTAAATATCTCGGCGAGTATTTACCCCCCTTTTAAATAAAACCCACCATTGAAATCCTCACAAAATAACCTTTCGAACGGGGGGTCAAGTGCCGTCAAAACATTACACAAACCGAAACAATCATATATTTACTCACCGCTTGGCCAAAGATTCTGAATTTCATATCCAGATAATCTTGAATATCTCTTGAACTTTTCGTCATTGTCTGAACGGCTATATGTGTAAAATACTCTTTGTATTCAAGCGCTTTCGTGTACAAAATTTCGTTTGAATACGGCGAGTAGAAATATTTATTTTGAATTTTTCAATGATGCGGGTTTTACTCGCACTTGCGTACATTGCGCAATAATTGGCCAATAAGAAGCTCCTGTGGCCGGGATGACGTCAAACTCACGCGTGTAGGTGCAATCTGACCTTGCGAATCCATTTCTGGCCTTTGCAGGGTCATACGATACAAGCTTCGAATTGTTTTGACGGTTTTCTGTCGTACTTCCGGTTGGGATTAACTCTCTTCGAGCTCACAGTCGGACAAGAAATGGAAATATATTGATAAAATATACAGATTTGAAGATACAGGCTTGCAAATAACACTCTAAATAGTGTTTTTAATGGGGATTCGAACAAGACTATTACAAAGACGATATGTTCGAAGGGGCCGAAGTTATTTTTGGCGAAAGGTATGGCTAAGTTTATATTTTTGTTCAGACAATTGCGTAATTTGATACAATATGATCGTGTTTGACTTCAAAGGCCCATAAATCGCTACAATATTGATAATGACTATAGCTATAGTGACGAATTAGTTGAATCTTTTATTTCTGAATCGAATGGTGGTATTTCTGTCTTCATAACATGCACCGAACCGAAGATATGAACATCCAATCATTCATCCGCTAGCGGATGAATGATTTGGGATTTGCCGTCAAAGAGTTAAATAATTTAGTAGAGAGATGAGTGCATAAAGCATAGGGATTTTGAAGCTAAATATGTTATAAAATTTGTCATTTTAGTGAATGCATTCTTTTCTGCTCGTCCTGGTTGTTGCAAGGAGACATCAGGCATTGTAATGGATGGATGACGATGTGTCGCCGGCAAACCTACACCGTGTGCATTTTCTTGGTGGATATCTTGGGCAAATGTGCAATATGACGAGGGATATCTTGGGCAAATATCTTATATAAATTGGTACGATTGCTTACCTTAAATTACTAAAGAAGGATGATGTTGTAAGGTTAGTGGATATTTATAATAGTGATAAAATGGGGGTTCCCTATGAATAGGAACAAAGTAAGGCTGCCTAATTAAGTGGAAACAATATTGTGCAGTGTAACAATCTAAAAATATGGCGGACTGAAATCTGTAAAAATGATGCATGTTTAATTTAAAACATGCAAAAATTGCAGCATAAATATATCACGAAACATGCTTCTTACAACTACATGCTATGTTTATAGGAATTTGAATAAGTTTTTAGTAGGCATGATTTAGGATTTTTGTTTTATTTTCATTTATGATTTTCTATAAATGGCCCAACTAGTTTATATCTAATACGTAATGTATAATATATAGATTGTAAATTTTTTGATCTAGAAAATAATAGAGTTCTTATACAACTACATGCTGTGTTGGGTTGTTAGGGTTGAATAAGTTTTTAGTAGGCATGATTTAGGATTGTTTTTATTTATGATTTTCTATAGACTGTCCCCCCCCCCCCCTCGTGGTGGAAGGATAACAGCCTGTGGCCATTTGTCACTAATGCTGCACAGTGACGTAGTCGTATAAATAGATATTTAACAGTCTGTGGCCATTTGTCACTAATGCTGCACAGTGATGTAGTCGTATAAATAGATATAATATTGTGCACTTCAGTGGCTTTCTAATTTTATTATCCAATCAGGTGTGTTACTTTAAATAGAACTTATTGTATGTAAACAAGGTCAATAGACAACGTTTGGGACAACATTGCTTTCTTTAACATATAGCATAATTTGTCTTCGTCATTCTGTGCACAATGAAGTATTGGGTCATTCCAGAAAACATCCATACCCCCCCCCCCCACGGAGGAAATAGGAAGTTAACCCCCTACCCCCTTCGGATGCCCTAATACATTTACTATTATCAGAAACAATTTTTTGTCCCCTCCCCCTCCGGACGGCAGAAATTTCCTCTGTGGGGGGAGTATGGATCTATTCTGGAACGACCCATTCAAGGCAAAGAAAATATGCAAGCATTAAATATTTCCTGCATTATTTCTCAATCCTTGCTCAATGACAAAAACATACTTAAATTAAATTTGTAATATAGGAAAAATAGATTTTCTGTAATATATATTTATCTGAAACAACCTCATGCTATGTACACTGTTGTAAGTTGTCTGTTTGTTTCAAAACTTACAAGAGTGTACATTAAAACAAGTAAGACTGAAGAATCATCTAAAATTCTTAATAAAAAAAAACCCAAAAAAAAAACAACCTCATGCTATGTTGATAGGAATTTGAAGTTTTTAGTCGGCATGATTTAGGATTTTTGTTTCTATTCATGATTTAATTTCTATAAATGCGTGCCCACCTAATTTTTGTTGCATGTCATATATGGCATGCAACTTTCATATAGCTCTAAATTTCGTGTGGCGGTGAGCGGTGGTGAGCGTACCAGTCACGTGGCAGATTCGTAAAAGATGACTAATACCGAGTTTTTCCGACGAGAATTTTCATGCTGAGTTTTCGTCGAGGAAACGCAAAGAAATATTGATTATTTGCCGAAAATTTACATAATTTATTGAGCGCTTTAGAAAATAGGTCGAGGTAGGTAAAGCTTTGCTGTTTTTAACTTACCTTGTATTTTGTTATTTGTTGTGATTTTGGAGCCGTTGTGCTCGCACTGATTATCAGGCGTTTATTTATATTAATATATCGTGAAAGCCTCAAAGCCCACGCTATCAAAACACTCAATTTTTATATACTGAAACGGAGCCATTGTGCTCGCCCTAATTATATACTGTGCAAAGCTTCAAAACTACAGCAGATTTTCTAAATAACATGAAATATACAATAAATATCAAACAAAATTTGAATTATAAATAGTATTGAAATTTAATACAACGAAATAGCAACCATTGTGAAGTACGCATAAGATTCAACATGACATTCAGCATGACATTCGATATAGTGTAAATTAACTCATTTCAATCACTCAAACGACCATACAGGTCATATTAGCTGACTAGTACCTTTATGCTTTTTCTACTTCGACAATTTCAATCATAGATTAATTAATAATCATTTTCATTTTATTATAGTAATTCACCGTTTCCACTGTTTTTTATACGTTTTAAAAGATACAATAAAGCTAAATCTATAGGAAATAACGTTTAATATTTAGTTACAAATTTGTAAAGGAAATGTAACAGTCAATCGCTTTCGATAAAACCTTGACCGACCTTGTTATTACCGTCGCTTGCAACTAACGATGAACGGTCGCTCATAAAAATATTGCCTATTCGTGTGACAATCTTAAGTTTCTTTTTTTGACATAAAAGCTATTTTTCAATAAATATATTGATAATATTAAACTTGTTGAATCAATATTTTAAGTTTCACGCCAGTTGTACCAAAGGTTATAAGTGCTATAACGCATCGTAAATCTCAGAAGGCATGCAACATGTACGCAGTGCGTACCTATTTTTAAGGATTTGCGAAGCAAAATCCTTTATGTCATCGGGTGTGTAAGATAGATAGATAGATAGATAGATAAGATAGATAAGATAGATAGATAAGATAGATAGATAAGATAGATAGATAAGATAGATAGATAAGATAGATAGATAAGATAGATAAGATAGATAAGATAGATAAGATAAGATAGATAAGATAAGATAGATAAGATAAGATAGATAAGATAAGATAGATAAGATAAGATAGATAAGATAAGATAGATAAGATAAGATAGATAAGATAGATAAGATAGATAAGATAGATAAGATAGATAAGATAGATAAGATAGATAGATAAGATAGATAGATAGATAAGATAGATAGATAAGATAAGATAAGATAAGATAGATAAGATAAGATAGATAAGATAAGATAGATAAGATAAGATAGATAAGATAAGATAGATAAGATAGATAAGATAGATAAGATAGATAAGATAGATAAGATAGATAAGATAGATAGATAAGATAGATAGATAGATAAGATAGATAGATAAGATAAGATAAGATAAGATAGATAAGATAAGATAGATAAGATAAGATAGATAAGATAAGATAGATAAGATAAGATAGATAAGATAGATAAGATAGATAAGATAGATAAGATAGATAAGATAGATAAGATAGATAGATAAGATAGATAGATAGATAAGATAGATAGATAAGATAAGATAAGATAAGATAGATAAGATAAGATAGATAAGATAAGATAGATAAGATAAGATAGATAAGATAAGATAGATAAGATAGATAAGATAGATAAGATAGATAAGATAGATAAGATAAGATAGATAAGATAAGATAGATAAGATAAGATAGATAAGATAGATAGATAAGATAGATAGATAGATAGTAACGCATTAGTGACGTTGAGTTCCGAGTCGAGTATTCGTGAACCGTCGGAAGTTATTATCCGCCATTTGTGTTTGTCGATATTCGCAAACTTTCGGGCCAAAAACCCGCTCATTTTCGTAGAATACACCAACGACTAAACATTGTACCACTTACTTTCAGCTAAACGAATCAATATATGACTGTTTTGTGCTAGAAATATAAATGGAAAAGGTCCTAAAAGACAAATTCGTTCAACTCAGGAGCGGCCGTATAAAATAAAATCAAAAGTGGTGTTTCCACTATGGAAACTGTATTGTTCCATTTTTCAGTCGTATTGATTGGAAATGAGTTATAGAAATGCAATTGCCTACTTTTAAAACGATACTTGTTAGTGCCTTTTTTAAGAAATCTTAGGGGGGGGGGGGGCAAAAGCAAAATAAAA